CGATTTGACATCCTCGTCCGTTCCTCCTGTAGTTGAGACAATGCTCCCTAGATAAGTGAATGAGTGGGATTTGATTACTTCCTGAAATACCTAGAAGATAAGGAACATTAGCGTTGCATGACCAGAGAGCTCAGGGAATATCTCTCTTTATAAGGCTGCCTGTTTGGAGTGGTTTCTGACTTGGTGTATTGTGTGTAAATCTCAATGCCGGTTACGGACCACAGCAAGGTTAATTGGGACATACGCTTTCCGGGGTTGACCTTTTCTAACTCTCTGCAAACCCGGAGAAGAGAGGCAGCATAGCTGGCTTGCTGGTCGTACATAGGAAACACCTTACTGCTGTTACATTGCTACTCACCAGCAGTGTGACTTCGCCATCAGACCTTCAATATAATAATGTGAACGAATTACATTATTATGGTAACTACTTTTAGATTAATCACTGTCTAAGTGACCTAGTACGATACTAACTGCACGAACATTGGTTCAACGCAATGCAGGTCGTTGGGTCATTGAAATTTGTAAGTCAAACCACTATATCAAGGTAGCAGTTATCGGTTGGTGGTCTTTGATTGGATTTCTCTAACAATCAGTAGCAGTAATATGGTTTTCCGGGAATTGCTTTGGAGTTTATCTTTATTATCTGCATATCAAACAGTGCCTTTTTTCAAATGCCAGTAATTATCTTGCCACATTTCTAACAAGTGGCCATTTTTATCTCTGCCGCTCTGTTTTGTTTAGCTTTCCTACTTGGGCATTAAAATAACCTCATCCAGATGTCTAGCTTTTTGTAGTGGATCAGAGTTTTATTAGCGCTTATCTTTCGCACTCTCTCAGCATAGACAGTTACTGAGGAAAATGCGGCATTCATCATAAACTTTCTTTTTTCAAATAAACGTTTTTCATTTGGTATCTAATCAAGCAGTTTACGTAACAAGTCAACAAGACCTGTCTGCTTGATCTTCGAATACCCAAAGCGTAAACTGTGTAGTCCTAATACCACAGTCTGATGAGGCCAAGAGGATTACTGTAACCAGAATGTCCTGGGTTCGAACTCCGGTGGGTACGTACTGATGGAGAGACCCAAACTGGGACGAAACAGCTGTCCATTACTCCCAGGTTTTCCAATTGTTCTTTAACATGCATTATTTATTCTCAGGTTTTTGCAAAGAATATCACATCTATATACACCTAAATGGTATATATATTTGAATATTTCATATATTTTGAAGTTCAATTTACATCTTATCATTTCGGGATAAATGATTATTTTTTATAGTTGGTTTGTAAGGATTAGTTTTGTTTTTCAAGTATTGGCTTTGTAGGGATTTCGTTTGATTGCATGGAGGGTTCCATCATGAGCTGGCATCAGTTAGAGAATCAATCAATCAATCAATGCAATCAAACAAAATCCCCACAAAACCAATACTTGAAAATTAATCTGATGCTCACTAGTGACTGGCCCTATTCAGGCAATTAACCTGGCGTTCTAGTAGGAAGCCGTGACCAGTAGGGTACAGCAGGTTGAAGATGAGGCAGTAACTCATTGAAGAAGACATTGCGAAATGGTCGCACTGTAACAACAGAAGACAAGGGCCAGGCAACAGAACGTTTATTACGGAAAATCAACACATATTTATAGATTTTGACGAACATTATTGTAGTTTAATGTTAGTAGAAAATACAGTCTGTTGATTGGTTGTTTCTCACACAAAGTTAACCTTGCATCTCTTATGGCTGTGTCAGTTCTGTATCCGCCTGTCCATCTTGACCTCAATTTCTGTCAACCACTTGGCTAGTAGACAGCTCTCACCACAGCACTATGTCGTGAATTGGGAGAAGTTAGAATTCAAGAACCATTGGATCGGGTCCCAATGGCTAGATGGTCTACGAGCTCGCCTTGTAACCAGAAGGTCCTAGTGGGTGCGTACTGCTGAAGAGTCCCAAAGTAGGATGGAGGAAACAGCTGTCCAGTACTCCCAGGTTTTTCAGTGGTTCTCTAACTGATGTCAGCTCATGATTAGTTTTGTTTTTACTAGTTGATCATGGATTGATATCAGTTCGAGAACCACTGAAAACCAGTGTTTACTGGACAGCTGTTTCCTACGTCCTAGTTTGGAAATCACAGGCAGTACGCACCCACCGCCAGGGTTAGAACCCAGGACCTTCCGGTTACAAGGCAAGCTGGCTCGTATGCCATTCAGCCATTGGGACCCGATTCAATGGCCAACCCATGAATTCTAACTTATACCACTTCATAATTTAGTACGACCGCCAGCCAGTGTCATAATGGGGGGGGGACATCCATCTTCCACACTTGACTGGATGGACCTCACTAGTCACGACTTCTCACTAGAACTCTAGGGGATCACGCTAAATCCCGTAGTGGTAGAAGTTAGAATTCATGGGTTGGCCATTGAATCGGATCCCAGTGGCTGACTGGTCTACGAGCCAGCTTGCCTTGTAACCGGAAGATCCTGGGTTGGAACCCTGGCGATGGGTGCGTACTGCTTATGATTCCCAAACTAGAACGTAGGAAACATCTGTCTAGTACTCCCTGCTAGTTTTCAATGGTTCTCTAACTGATATCAATCCACGATCAACTCGTAAAAATAAATGATTATATTTCTTATCTCTACAGCTTAATAAGCTGATAACTAGATGAAGGGAATGAAGCCAATTTATATAATTGTCATCATTCTCTACCTATTTTCTATCCCATTCAACTTTTAATTCCAAGTACTATAACGAACTACCGAATAAATTTCCAGGTAGAGTTCACCACGAACCAAAATCTGCTACAGAATCATTAGAAATCATGGATCAGTAAATAGTTCTTTCATCCTAGTCTGTCTATTAATTTCCGAGTTTTCAATGGTTCCCTGACTTATGTCGGTTCATACTGAAATCTATCTTGTAATTAACCAGTATTGAAACTTGGAAGTGTGGATTATAGTATATTTGTATACCAACCAATTGCGTCGATAGTTCAGTGGTATAAGGTGCGCCAACCAAGCACATGGTCCAGAGTTCGAACTCACGCTGATGCACTAGCATCCCGCCTAATATACTAGATGGAAGTAAGCCAGGAAAAGAGGGGAGATTGGGCGTAATGACTAGCGATCCCATCCCATAGAAGTAATACTGTAATAGTAGAAGATAAGAGACTTGGTAAAGGGATATTCATTTGGAGTTTACTACCTCTATATAGTTATCCTCCGTGTCGCTCAACTTCTGCCTTTCGTATTGTGTTTCTTTGTCTCCTATTCGTATCTCCCAAATTTTGCCGCAACGCTGAGTCATCCGCTCTCTTTGACATCAAATCTATCTCACTGCGGACGAACGTCTCTTTGTACACTCTCAGTAAATCTTATCAGTAGTACATGCCACAGCGTCCCCGCGACTGGAACTTCGTAGCTCCAGCTTGAAGACTTATATTCCAGTTGGAACAAAAGAATATACTCAGGTGTCCTATTATGCTACCTAATATGTTCAAGCTCAATATTTTCTGTAGTCATTTAGTGAAAACATGTAGAAACCTCAGATTTAATCAATAACTGGAAGTTGCGGTCTATCATATTGGCGAGTCGTCAGCTATTCCATCAGGTAGGTAGTTACCTGGGGTTCCAGTGGGAAGTTATGACCAGTAGGGTGCAGCAGGTCGGGTGTGAGGACAAATACTCGCCGAAGACATTGGCTAGCGGTTGCGTTATATCGTGAATTGGCAGAAGTTAGAATTCATGGACTGGTCATTGGATCGTGTCCCAGCGGCTTAATGGTATACGAGAAAGTCGTGGGTTCGAACCCCGGTGGGTGCGTACTGCTGAAGAGTCAAAAACTAGGACGAAACAGCTGTCCAGTACTCACAGGTCAGCTCATGATGAAATCCTGTAACCAGTCAACCAAATCTCTATAAACCAATACTTCAATATAAATGTCCATTTCTTTTCCGACTGCCTACATTGCAAATGTTAGGCTACAAATTACTCGGAGATACACGGTTATCAGCTAAATATCCGCATGGATTGCCAAGTAGTACTCTAGCATACTTTGAAACTAGCTAGCAATGAACATCGCTCATCCAAGTTATGCCATACACATATAATACCCGCGCCCCCCTACCAAATCTAGTCAGACTAGATATCTCCTGTATTCTTCATCATGAAGGTACAAAGTAAAGAAAACTATGATGCATTTTTGTTTTGTTTTTTCAGTTTAATTTTTATTCTTTCTTTATTCAATAAAAATCTTGTTCTACAAAAATTGAGGTGGGCTTGGATTGGGTCAGGTTGGGTGGAGTTGGGTTGGGTTAAGCGTTAGTTGTAATAATAATAATAATAATAATTATTATTATTATTATATGAGGAAGCTTTCGACTCTCTTCTTTTTGTGTTTGCCAACTTCAAAGTGAGTTTCTTGTTTTTGTTTTATTTCTTCCTCCAATTCTCATCATTCTTCTTTGTACACAAGAGAAATAGATACGGGGTAGTTCATTCTCTGCCTTCAATTATATTACTACTATATTACTACAACCACTACGAATATACTTTTAGGATGTTTGCCTCTGACTTCCATGTTTATTTTCTTCTCTCTCTCTCTCCTAGTTTTGTTATTATGATAATTTGTATATATATTTATATTAGAAAAATAGGGAACAATAGCTTGTGTTGTTGTATTGGGTGTCGCAGTAGGAGATCGATAGATGGACGGATGGATAAAGAGTGTGTGAGGAAGTTTCTCTTTGGATGAAAGCAAATATATATATATATATATATATATATGTATGTTTGCGTGTATGTGTACTTGTGAAAAGGCATCATAGCATACATTCAAAGTTATTTCTGCGTTTGTCTAACAATATATCAATGCGTGATTATATATGAGTTTAATTCTGTGTGTATGCGTCTGTGCGTGTGTGTGTGTGTAGGCGTTATCGATTCTCTGTAATATTTCTTCATCTAAATATTCTCACAAAAATAATCCGATTAGGATAGTATTATTCATTCACGTTTGAATAAACTTCTTATTGTTGAACGTCTTCGTTGTTGAGGTAAGCCTGATCCACTGCCACTGCCACTGCCTCCTGCACTAACACCAACACCGCCACCAGATTCATTTTGCCCGACATAATTGGACTCATAATCTTTCTCTGAAATACTACGATTCTGTGATGAGCCTCTTGATAAGCCTAATGATGGGAAATTACTTTTTCTCTGTGTAAAATAAAAAGAAATAAAAAAATAAAATAAAATGAAAAAAGTGAATCAATGATGAAGGGATTTTTATGATTCTTTTAGAAGGATATTTTCAAGAGTTAGTCTTTTTTTTCTAGGGAATTTGATGTCTCAGATTTGATCAGGAACCTCTACCTCAACTTTATAGACTTTGAGAAGGCCTTCGATAGACAGCGCAGCGTTGACCGCGAAGTAATTTGGAAACTACTCGAGTACTACGGCGTACGTACCCCAAATATTCATTAACCTTATTCAACAGCGCTGTACGACAACAGCACATGTCAAGTGATCCACAACGGAAAACTCAGCGAGGCTTTTGGAGTAAACACAGGAGTCAGACAAGGGTGCTTATTATTATCACCAATGATATTCCTAATTGTGGTGGACTGGATTATGCGTCAGACAGTGGGAAACGAGAAGAAGACAGGTTTATCCTGGACCGACGTGAAGAATCTAGAAGACATGGATTTTGCGCGTGGATGATTTATGTTTGATGTCACACGAAATGGAAGACGTGCAGGCGAAAACCGACAAACTGGTCGAGGAATCAGCAAAGACAGGACTGCAGGTGAACATAGACAAGACGGAGGTTATGAAAATAACCAACCAACAACAACAGCAGCAGCAACATCCAGTGCCAATCACCATCAACGGGAGGGATTTGAAAGAGGTTACTTCTTTCACTTATCTAGGGAGCATTGTCTCAACTACACGAGGAACGGACGAGGATGTCAAATCGAGAATCGGGAAGGCGAGAAACACATTCATCAACCTGAAAACAATCTGGAAATCTTCGTCACTCCTCAGCATCAACAACAAAATTCCGATTTTCAATACAAACGTCAAGTCAGTGCTTCTATACGGGGATCAGAAACTTACTTGGCGGGTCACAAAGAATATTTCCAACAGCCTGTTGCAGACCTTTATCAACAACTGTCTTCGTTCTATACTCAATATCAGATGGCCGGAAAGAATCACCAACAAGAAACTATGAGAACAAACAAAACAAGAACCAATCGTCCAACAAATATGCAGGAGAAAGTGGAGATGGATTGGACACTCGCTGAGGCGGCCGCTGGGTGATATCGCGCGTCAGGCCAACGCTCGAGTGGAACCCGAAAGGGAAGCGGCGAGTGGGACGTCAGTGGAAGGGTGACATGGAGGAGATCGTGTGAAGAGGAGTTGAGACAGTATGGAATAAGATGGATGCAGTTGAAAAGTACAGCAGAAGAGAGAAATAAGTGGAGACGTGCAGTTGAAGCCTTGTGTTCCACTAGGAACCCAAGGGGACAATAATATAAAATAACAGATTTGATCAGAAATTGATGTAGAACAAACATTAACCAACGTTAACTTTGAATCTGCAGAAACTGGGCTGTTAAACTTCCTCCTAATGACTGAATAGTAAACTAGGTGAGGTTGGATTAAATCCTTGAAAATTAATCTGATACTTGTTAATGACTGGTAGCAGGATGCAGTTTCCCAGAGTTCTAATGCACAAATCATGACTGATACAATCCATCAGGTCGGGTGTGAGGAAAAATACTCGCTGATAACATTAACCGGTGGTCACGCAAAACTCGTTTATTGACAGAAGCTAGAATTCTGGAGTTGTTGAATTCTGACCCTAGGGGGTTGAATATTCAATGAGCTGGGATTCGTTTCTTAAAATTCGTCATTATTATTATTCCCTTGCGTTACGAGTGGAACATAGGGCTTCAAAAACACATCTCCACTTTATCCTATTTTCTGCTTTTCTCTTCCTCTGGGTCCGCGGTTGCCCATAATCTTTCTTCTCCTGCAAGCATGACCTCCTCCATATCACCCTTGCACTGACGACCCACTCGTCACTCCTCGTTTGGATTCCACTTGAGTGATGGATGGCCTAGCCTTCAATGTTATTCGATGGCCTCCTCAACATATCCCCGACTCATCTTTATTTTCTCCTACATATTTGTTGAGTAGTCGGCTCTTGGCTGGTTTGTTGCCAGCCAGAGTTTCTTGTTACTAATTTTTTCTCACTAGTCAACCATTTGATCTTCAATATGGAGCCAGTGAAGATGGTAGCTGTTGACAAAAGTCTCTTACTTGTTGGAAATTCTTTTCGTGACACGCAAGACAAGTTTCTGACCCGTATATAGAAGGACCGACTTGACAGGGGTGTTGAAAATCCGAATCTTGTTGTTTATGCTGGCTGAGTGACAGCAGAAGATTCCCAAACTGGTTTCACAGTGGTGAAGGTTTGTCTTGTCCTCCCGATTTTGGCTGGCTGGCTGGCTGGTTTTGAAATCTTCATCCGCTCCGTCTAACTGTGGTTAAAACCGTGCTTCCAAGCCGGATAAGTGAAGGAAGTAACCTCTCAAATTTCTGCTGTTAATGGTGATTGGTGCTGGTTGTTGTTGTTGTTGCTGTTGGTTGGTTATCTTCTGAAAGTCGTCATGAGTCACTGATAGTTTGAGCTTCAAACAAGATAAACAATTGAGCTATAGGTTTATATGAATGGACCACAGCTTCTGGCGGCTTACTTAAATCAGTGAGCTACCGAAGCTTCCATCTATCATGATGCATCTACTTTCCAAGTTTTCTTGTTGGTGTTGTTGTTGCTATTGTTTTAATCTTCCAATTATGTCACTCAACCACAACATGAGCTCACGCCAACAGTTAATCGGCTTCAACCTCAGTGTTGTGAAGCACTTCAAGAAGAAAATCAAAGGAAATGTTGTAGAGGACTGAGTTTTTTCCCAGACGGAATGACGTCGCATCAAACAATATGCTGTAGATGAATAGTAACTTGTACTTCCTATATGGGGAGTTGATTTTTTGTAAGAAATTACTCTGTGAATTATGTACTGTATTTAAACATAGTTTCCGTAATTTCCTTGGATTTCTTCTACATAGCCTGGGTCGTTTAAAAATGAGAATAACATATCTGGGTTGTTCCAGAGTGATGGGTAGAAAAACTATCAGCCTACTACGCCTTCTCAAACAGCTGTAGTTACGTCTTCACTTTACAAAGGCTTGAGTACGGTTTCCTAGATAGTAGTACCAAAAGAACTATTGTCTGAGTATCCTCCATAAGCACTTCACTTTATTTATTGGTTGAATTAGTTTTCTTTGACGATGAAACAGTTTAGAGAAGTTTGGAATTTGCTTTCCAATGCTTTATTCTGCGTCGATTTTATTTGCCTTTCTGAAGCATTCCAATATATTTTGATTGAATTTTAGGTATTCCCGTCGATTGATTGGACCGAAGTGCTCCTCGGTTTCAGGTTGACGTGTCGGCTTCTTGTGCAGATGCTTCGACGATGTCTGGCCATGTAATTAGAATTTAATTTGTGGATGGATTCCAATCCAGGATGTGCGTTTCGTCCTATTTGGGACTCGTCAGCAACTGGATGTACCTGCATTTCGCAGTGAATGATGATGTTCCCACCGAGGCTCAAACCCAGTTAAATTAATATGACCCGTTGCATAAGAGGTGGCTCTCGTGGCCGAAGTGGTCCAGTGGATAACGCTTTGGCGTTTGAAACTATGGGCACTGGGTTAGAGCCTCGGTGGGAACATCATCACTCACTGGGGAATGCAGGCACATCCAGCTGACGAGTCCCAAATAGGACGAAATGCGCGTTGTCCTGGATTCCACCGCTAGTCATCATCCACAAATTAAAAAAATGTTCCAATATATGCTTTTGAAGGTTGAAGGTATCAATATATCATTTCATTCGCCTAACAAAGTGTTTGACAGGAAGGATGTAGTTTGTTAATATGATGCCTGGTATGTGCTTCAGCTAATTTCGTATGCGATTATTGCCATTATTAAGGTGTGATGCAGCTTGATAGGTAGCGGCCAAAACTGAAATCAACATTTTAAGTCGGTAGCTGCAGAGGTAGTAGTGTTTATTTCTCAATTGTGGATTTATTTTGCGTTGTGGACATGAAATAACCTGATTAGGCAGCCTGTCTAACTCTCAGCCAGTCACCAACCAATCAGAAGAATCTATTGTCCTCTGACCTGGTCGAAATTTAATGTGGTTAAAAATGTATAAATATGAGGTGTTTTTCCTTTATAAACTTCAGTTACCAAGTCTCTTATATCCTCCCTTCCCTGAATAGTGTACAGTACACTTCTGAAATGTTAAGGCAATTTTTCTGCAGAATGAAATTACAAGTTACATTGACTCCTATTTTATCGTCTACGTTTATGTTTTTGCATGTTTTTAGCAGATTATTGAGTGAGATATTGTGTTTGCAGAGTGTACACAATAAAATTTGAGCCAGGAGTGATAAATTACTTCTGTGCTTTTCTAAGTAATATAAGCAACTGTGTAAAGAGATTTCTTTGGTATATACCCTTTTTTTAAAGGTCATATTATGTTTAAATATAACACACAATTCTCAGAGTAATTCCATGCTGAGGATTTACTCCCATATAGAATCTTGTAGGTAACTATTCACTGGCAGTATGACGTATGATGCAACATCATTCTGTCTGGTTTGTTTCCTGAAGTGCTTCACAGCACTAGGTTGGAAGCCAATTAACTGTTGACGTGGGTTCATGTCGTGATCTAATGACATATCTGGAAGACTAAAATTCCAGCAACAACAGCAAGAAAAGAAGAAAAGTAGATGTATTATGGTGGATGGAGGTTTCAGTAGATCAGCGTTTTAAGTAGGCCGCCATAAATGTGCTGATCATGAGTTTCCTATTTCTAGATATCTACATATGTTAGAAAGTAAAAAGATCAAAACTGTCTTTCATTACATAAATTCTTTTTATTCTTTCACTTTCCCAGTGGGACATAGAGCTTCAAGCTAGAGGCTTGAAGTTTCGGTAGAAGTGGTGTTTATTTTAGCCTCATGTCCAACCTTCTCTCTTTACCAGTCTTATTACTTACCGGCTAAGCGAGCTAAAGGAATGCATCCGCAGGGGATCGAACCCCGGACCACATTCGTGGTCGGAAAGCATTCAAAGTGAGGAGGGGAGTAAGACAAGGCTGCCTACTATCGCCAATGATTTTCCTGATTGGTGTAGATTGGATAATGCGACAAACAGCGGGCAATGAGGAAACAGGCATAAAATGGACTCACACAAAAACTTGGAGGGTGTGGACTTCGCCGATGATGACATATGTCTGATTTCCCACAAACTGGAAGATATGAAAGCGAAAAGCAACAAGTTGACAGAAGAAGCATCAAAGATAGCAGGGACTTCAGGTGAACATAGAGAAAACAGATGTGGTGATGAAGATTCCTGGGCAACACCACCAACAGCAACAAAAACAGACAACGATCAGCATAAATGGGAGGAACCTGAAAGAAACAACATCCTTCACCTATCTACCTGGGAAGTATCGTTTCAACTACAGGCGGAACTGACGAGGATATCAAAGCAAGAATCGGAAAAGCAAGACAAACTTTCACTACTCTCAAGTCTGTGTGGAGGTCAACAGCACTCAACAGGAAAAATAAGATCCGTATTTTCAACTCCAATGTGAAGTCAGTGCCCCTTACTATACGGATCAGAGACTTGGCTAGCGCGTCATAAAGAGCATCTCAAACAAACTACAGACCTTCATTAACAGCTGTCTTCGCTCAATACCACTCAAGATTAGATGGCTGGCGAGAAAAGATCAGCAACAGGGAGGGATCTCTGGGAGAGAACCAACCAGGAACCAATTGTGAAACAAATAGGCAGGAAGAAATGGAGATGAATTGGCTGGTCACACTCTGAGGAAACAAACCATCAAGTGACATCACTAGACAAGCCATTGCTCGAATGGAACCCGAAAGGGAAGCGGCGAGTTGGTCGTCAGTGCAAGGGTGACTTGGAGGAGGTCATGTGAAGAGGAGATGAAAACGTGTGGGCAGACTTGGAACCAGGTGAAGACTCTGGCAGAGAACCGAACGCAATGGAGACGCACGACTGAAGCCCTATGTTCCTCTGGCAATTAAAGGAAACAGTAAGCATTCAACCGCTGTGCCATGGACGCACTCATTACATAAATAGAAGCAATAAAATTCACAAAGCACAAAATACACATTAATGAAGAAAGGAAGATTATGAATCCAGTCGCTTATTTGATTAACTAGCTAACTAGCTAACTAACGTACCTGTGGATTATTTGGATATGGATTTAAATCCATTACAATAATGGATTCTTCTTCATTTTCTGGAAATCGTCCAATCCCATTACGATCGTAATCATCACGAGGATGAGTTGGTGATTTAAAGTTGTTGTTGTTGTCTATAACTTCACTGTCATTGGCAGAATTAAATGGACGACTAGTTTGTAAACGTGGTGAACTAGATCGTGGATTATAGGCAAGTCTTTCCTTTTCACTACTTGGCTGTTAAAATGTGAAAAAAGAGAAAATGAAATGTGAAGTAGTACATTATAGGTAGTAATTTAGTTTATTATCAGGCTGCTTGTTTAAATCACCGAGTTACCTAAATTTCTATCGAGTTTAAGGCATGTGACTGACTGACTAGTTCCAAGGTATGACTCTGCACAGATGTTCAGCAGTTCGAGTTGCCACACAACCTCCATGTAGCACACAAAACAAGAGAAGAGAGTGAAGAGAGAATCAAAAGAGAAAAGTGTGAATGAGAGAAAAAGAATAGTGATATGGAAGAACAATATGGTTTTATTGGATATTATAAACCACAAGGAGTGGATGCATCTACGCCAGCCATCACCAAGAACGATTTTCAGCCATATTAGCGATTGTCTTCAGCCTTCATTGGTTCTTACCATCTTGAGGACCCCAACCCGACAGACAGCCGGACAATCTACACCTCTCTACTTGGCTGGCTGACTGGCTAGCTTAAAGTAGCTGTTGTCGATTTCATTGACTGATTCTATGTTTTCGTTTGACGGTCATTCGCTCTTTCCCAACCTCATTGATTGTATGTCACCTCGCATTGTCCGTCGAGGGAGATGATGCTTAGGGATGCATGTGTAACACATGTCCTGACCATCTTAATCGATGTAACTTCACAAACTCCATCAATTTACTATCTCTCCATAACTAACACGACGTCTAACCTCAGTATTGCTCATCCTATCACACTACCTAACACGGGAGATAGAACATATGTACTCTTCTGCATTTCCTACTGTTTTAATCATTTAATTATCTTTTTGGTTCACTCAATTTAACGGTGGCACATTTTATGGCTTACTGTTAACGTTATGCAGACCGCCGCTGAACGGAATTGATGAAAAACTGATCGTGGAGGATTGGATACTGCTTCAGATGTAACAATACAGCGTCACAAAATATACTGCACAGAAGAGTCGCAAATACACCAGTAATCTTGGAATGCTCAGTTAGCCAGTTAGTTAGACCAGGTAAATGACACTCTATACTATTCAACGAAAAAATGCTAAGTGAAGTCTTATGATGTTGACATTGGATATGTGGTAAGTTTTAGGTTAGGCTTGGAGAAGATTAAGGTTGGGTGTAGGTCACAGACAGGTTTGGGTTAGGTTAAACTAATTTTGGAGATATTAGGGTTGGTCCGAGATAGATCATGGTAAGGTAAATGAAAGATTAACTTCGCCTAGTTAACTGGCTTGCTAGTTTTCTAGCCGGTCCCGTGCCCAGGTGAAGAGGATGGTCGGTTGTGGGGCTAGCTACCCTACACCAGAGAAACTATCAAATTGCTAGAGAAACTTCAACTCACAAAAATATATTAAAAATACAGAAAAATTCAAATATCAATCTTATTCTTCGCTGGAATCGGGCAGGTGAAATGACGTGGACTAGTGAATGCCTTCGAGAAGCCAGTCCGCCTATGTGTCTTCTCTCGATGAAAGCAAGAACAAGAATGGGCAGTCGTGGAGCCGGGTGAAGAGGATGGTAGGAAACAGAACAAATTGGAGATGTGTTTTTGAAGCCCTATGCCCTATTAGGAACACAAGGGAATAATAATAAATAATAATAAAAGGGAAAGATCAGGATCAAGGTCAATTTAAAGATAGATCAGCGTTATTACTTTCTTTATTTTAATTCCTTTTCGTACCGAGGGGAACATAGGGCTTCAAGCTAGAGCTTTGAAGTTTCGGTAGCAGTGGTTTCATTTTTATGGGGTGGAGTTGCAGGCCTCACGCTCAACCTCCCATCTTTACCGTCCTTATTATCGGCTTAGCGAGGTTTAGGAGTGCGTTGGCTGAGAATCGAGTCCCTAACCATATGCATGGTTGGCAAGCGTTCTACCTCCGAACAACCGACGCAGAAGTTGCTTGGCTAGACGTCTCGCTGAGATGTGAACTCGGATCGCTGGATTCATAGTCCAGAGTGCTAACCACTACACTACAAGGCCTAGATTAGCTTTAGAAGACCGAATTTAACTTTCAGCGCTTTGATTCTTCCCTGAGTCATCGGTTCCTAAAGTTCTGTACTGCCGAATACTGCTTTAAATGAAGGGCATGGCAGATAAAAGGATAATTTTAGCTCATGAACTGACTTTATATTTTTATTGGACTCAACACACCATCAAGGCTTATCGGATAGGTGTAGACCAATGAACTTACGAAAAAGTTTTGTCATTAATAATAATAATTTACTTTATTTCAAAACAGTATTTGTGATACAGAATGGAATTCTCAGCATTCCACTACAGTATTGCATCCAGTTTGTACATTAACAATAAATAAAATTCTACATAGATTATGGTAATCGCAGTTAGTTTTGACAACAACATAATAGCATGTCGGTAGAAAAGCCAAAAGTGAACAGAATGTTTGAAGGTGTTAGAAAAGTAGATACTAGCATATTTACTGGCGTAAGCGGTAACAATAAGGTCGAGATATACAAAGTGTGAAAGAACGAAGAAGAATGTTTTAAGTAGAGTTTGTAAGGAAGAGAGAAAAAAACGGCACATAACAAAAAAAAGAGAGAGAAAAGGAAAAGAAAGAAAGAAAACGTTGTACCTATGAATGATATGAGTTGGAAAGACGAGATCCAATTGTTTTAGTTGTATGATGTTTTATCACAGTTTTAAAGAGTGACTGGAATAGAGGTTACAAAAGGGAATCAGTCATAGTGGGATTCAGGTGACAAGTTAATCGTTAATTTAATCCCAATTTCACTTTGTCTAATAATCAGTCGTGTTTTAATAGGTCAAATAGACTATGGGAGGCAAAGGCTAAACTCTGTTGTTTTCTGTACATATAATTTGAGATGCTTATGAACAATCCAAAGTTATGTGGAAATAAGTGGGAAACATTCATTAATATTAATTTTGTGACCGGATATTAATAAATTCTTTGTGGTAGATGGTGACGGATTTCTATTCAGATGAAATATTTTTCGATTCTCTATGTGACATAAAAAGCATTTAGGAATATGCTGTTTTCAAGGACACTAACACAATCTATTTAAATTTAAATGAACTCGAAAGTTAGGGAAAGTGATTAGAATGACTGAAGTGATTTTGATTTGACAAGGTAATAGTGTACAGAAAAAGGTGCACCATTTATTTTCAATGTAATTAAATAAACTGGATTATAATTAATGTGAAGTTCAAAACTGACCCTTGATTAAGGTGGTTATGCAGCCTAATAAGTGTTTAGTCTAGGAAATACAGCTTCGTAATAATGTGATATTTCATTCTGTTTTATTCAACGGTAGAATACTTGTCAGTCACGCTTACGGTTCGGGTTCGATTCCCTGCTAGTGTACTGCTAAGCCTCCGTTAACAGGTAGTAAGCCGGATAAAAAGGAAACGTTTGGTGTGAGGCTGGGACAACATTGCTACTGAAAATGGAGAGCTCACACTTGAGTCCTTGTGTTCCACTCTGAATACAAGGGAATGAGAGTACCCAAACCTACAAATATCTTGCAGTGGTCCCCCAAATGAAAGCCTGTTTAAAAAAGGGAAGGTTTTGGGACCAACAGTTTGTCTTTGTCAGCCGTGAAGTCATGACTGATGCATGCACTGAAATGATAACTTGATTGGACAGTTTTTAATTGCTTATTTTGTGGTTTTAATTTCTGAGAATTTGTAAGCGATGTATATGTATTGAATAGTAAAACATCGTATCTTTTGTTGTTATTGAAGTTAAATCTAAATTTAGTCTCCACATCAGTGTGGGGAATATTTTCAAGTAATCAGTTGCCTATAGTGTCCTATCTGGAGGGTGTATTTTAGTCAGGTTAGACGACAATTAGAAGTCAGTAATACTCCGTTATAATATATATGTATAAACATAATTTAACTTTTCCTCGAAAGCATTTATTCAAACTTTCGCATAAAAAGATTTTTATGTTTCTATCCATACTACTTATTAGTAACACAAAAGCATATCATGATTTAGTTAATATCTGACCATTCATAAGACAGAATTTGTTCAGCACAGTAATATATATGCTTTGTCATCGATTGTGATATCAGATTGAGTAAAACCTCAGTCATTTGCACGAAAAATTAAGGTTCACAGGGCCTGCTACCACCTAAGCGAGGGTTAGGAGTGCGTCGGCAGAGGATCGAACTCTGGACTTTATGTGTGGTTGGTGAGCATTCTGCCGTTCAAAACTAGCTGAATGAGTTTCAGAGTCGAACTTCGCACAGAAGTGCCGTAGTTAAACTCACCACACTCAGTATAGTGCACAAAGAGAGAAAAGAAAATAGTAAATTTACTAGAAATATAATGGGCAGAAATTTACTGGAGAGGGAGAAGTGAAATGGGAAAACATGAGGATTTTGGTGGATCTGGGTGATTATAAAGAGTGAATATATCTCTGTCGCTGAGATAGCTTTTAAGGCATAAAACCAGCAGTCTCACGCCAATGGTTCTTAGGATCCTGAGGAACGCATTCAAGCAGTCTTCACTCCCCTATGTGACTGGCTTAAACTAATAGTGGACTAATGTCATGCTTTATTATGATCACCCATAACTCTCTTCCAACCTAATCATGTGTCAAATAAAATTGTTTATAGAAGAAGGTTGCTGCTCGGTATGAGTAATACATGTCCTAGGTGTTTCAGTCGACGCAAATTCACAACTTTATTGATTAATTTCCCCTCCCTACCTAACACTTTGTGTCTCACCTCAGTATTACTCACCATAGTGTATATACCGTCCAAAAAGGGGGATAGAATACAAACATCTGTGGTCAGAAACACTTAGCCTCTTTAAGTCTTCTACTTTTAACAGGGACGTCTCACAGTCAAAAAGAAGGATAGAGCGAACTGCTGCGAATTACACACCTCCTGGATATCACATATACTCTAGGGATGACGTAAATAAACAAATAAATGAATAAACATTCTGCCGTCCAAAACTGAGTGAATGAGTTTCAGAGTAAAATTTTGTACAGAAGTGCAGTAGTTAAACTAACTA